TTACGTTACTGTAGCACACGAAACCATCGAGAATGGAACCCTCCTGTTCGGATAACCACTATTTCTTATGATTATCCGAATCCGTGATTGCTGCTCTTTTCACGGATTCCGCTATAAAGTTTCATCAGTTTCCGTGATTGTACTAATTACTGAGGGTAATTATTACGGAAACGGACACGGATTACTTTGCGAAATCTCCCTATTGTATCTAACAGGATTCACAGTGCGTATATTTAGTTCAAGTAAAACGATGTCTCGACGATTTCAGGTTCGTCGTTGGTGGAAGTGTCTCCTTTCTGTAAAACTGAGTGTTACTACTAGTACAGTAGTACTATCATATTGGACAATATCGTCGAGAGTGTCAATGTGACGATGTCAACCCATGACATTTTTCCGACGACTGGTGCTGCCGTCGGATATTCTCATTACTTATGAGACAAGCACTACAGTACTTGTCCATAGCACGAATCTCATTTCCCAATCATCCTTTCAAAATGAAGACAATCGTCCTCTTGTCACTCTTGACTGTGTCCGTCTTTGCATGTGACCTAACCAAGATCAAGGACGGGATGGCTTCGTGCGATAGCCTCGGAAGTGCAGATGCCAAGTGCAACGACAGGGCGTGCCACAAGGCCCTGCACTATTTGGTCGACGAAGACACCATCAAGTGCTACGTGTCATTGGGTCTCGGGCCCGCCTCCGACTTGAACAAGTACGTTGACTTGGACAAGTACTGCCACGGCGAAGGTCCTCCTCCTACGAACCCCCCACCGGCAACAGCATCGCCCCCGACCGCCCCCCCCACAGCGCCCCCCACCGCCCCTCCCACAGCGCCCCCCACCGCCCCTCCTACTGCACCCCCCACAGGACCCCCAATAGCGCCACCCACAGTGCCGCCCACCGCAGCTCCATCGACGTCGTCGGCACCTGCCCCGTCGAATGGACCAACCCTGATCCCTGTAGTCCCCACCACAAGCGAGCCATCCGCAGCTTCCACTTCCGCACCATCCACAACTACGCCTTTGACGACCGCAACAGACCCAACTACTGAATCACCCACGCCTTCTACTACCTCGGTGTTGACTTCAAAGCCAGTGAACGAGACGACTGCGAGCCCCAGCCAAGGAAGCACCGCAGACCCATCAGTAGTGTCCCCAGTCGCCCCCACTGCCGCCCCCACTGCCGCCCCCACCACATTCGCTCTACGGACTACGACCCGTGCGCCACCTGTCACAAGCTTTGCCCCTTCGGCTTCCCCACTTAATGCATTCGCCATTGCTGGCCTTGCAATGTGCGTGTTACACGTAGTCGGCTAATTGCCAAATGTCAAGTGTAAATTGAACTGTGAATTCATCTCCGATTCGAATGACTTGCATTCCTCCTACATAGTCGATTTGGAACCCTCAAGTTTATATTTGACGGTCGTATGGCGATCGATATATACGTATGGGTGCAGTTCTTTGTTCCCTGCCACGATACATGATTGGTAGAAAACAATCACTCCGAAATTTTCAGCCAATTACCTGTAACTTTTGACAGGTAACTGGATACTTCGAAGTAGCTCGGAACTGATTTTAGCCTATGGATATTTATTTCCCTCTTTTAATTCATTTTCAATCAACACTAATATGAATTTCGACATGATTTTAAGTCCAACGAACTGCATTAATTCTCCTCTTTAAGAAACACTATTATAATACTTCGAAGTAGCAATTTGGAATAAAGCAACCTCTCCATCGAAAGGCTCCAAAAAGTGTCACGGAACCATGTAAAGTACTTCAAGGACCTTTCTTCTTTCTCTCAGGACACTAGCCAAACTGTCACTTCTGCAATTATTAACACTACTACAGTAGTATTATACAGTACTACCCCTTCGTGGCAAGAATGTATCACCAAGGCGGGATAAGAACTCAAAAATGTATATATATATTCCACGATTACATTCCAGACGAAAGCACCCCGAGACACGCGACAGTCATCACGGACACGGTCGAAACCAACGACGCCGAACTGGCCGCATTTGGCTTTGCGGTGGTCGTCGCCTTAGGCGCGGCGTGGCAGAACTTGTCCAGGTCGGTGTACTTGGTCAGGTTGGTGGCAGGACCAAGGCCGGACGAGACGTAGCACTTGATGGCGTCGTCCTCGACGAGGTAGTGCAGGGCCTTGTGGCACGCCTTGTCCTTGCACTTGATTTCGTCGCTGGCGAGGCGGTCGCACGACGCCATCCAATCCGTGACCTTGGCGGGGTCGCACGCCTTTTGGGCGGACGCCGACGCGGCAACACACGCGAGCACAATCATGGCAGTCTTCATGGCGGCTTGGAGAGGATTCACAAATGAAAGTTCATGTCACTGCCTTTTGTCATGGTGGTGAAGGGTGACGAAGCTTCTTGAGACAGGAAATACAACGAATTCTCTATCAGGAATAATGTCTGGCCGTCGGAGGACGCCGCCGTCGGATCGAGTCCATGGGATCCATAGATGGATATAGTCGCCATATGTATGCGACGTGCACTTGATAGTGGTACAATTAGCACTTACTAGTCGAGGTGTACAGTATTTATCCGACGGGTGTTGCACTTACTGTTACGCTTAGTATTACTACGTAGTAATACAATTGTATAAGTTTGTCATTCATTTTCAATGCAGTTGGTCAATAAAAACCTGCGAATCGATTCTAATAAATCATCCATTCGAAGTGTCGATAACACAGAATGTTATCATGATGCATTTCGGCTTCACAGTGTCAAATATACCAACAATAAATACTATTAATACTACTACTTCGAAGTACTACAGTAGTACTGTTACCTGGTACTACTAAGAAATACTGGTACTACCGTACTTAGTATATACTCCGGAGTACTGTACTGTAGCTCGAAAATGTTTAGGGTTAACAGTAAATTATACCACTCTGGTCCGTAATGTTTGTCACATTGTTTTTGGTGTGGTGCCATTCTTCTAAATTTACGACTTGAATTCAACTGATTGGTGCATTAGAAAGGTAATAGACAGATTTCGAAAATTATGCCGTGCATTTCCTGTGCACTATTGTCGATATGCATGGAAAATGCACGGGATCAATTTAACCTAATTTCGAAAAGGCATCACTTGCCGTATACGGATAAATACTAGTTTACCGTAATCCCCACAGGCGTGCGCGGCCAAAGTCCCATGCTGACTGTCGAGGAGCTTGGTGCTCCTGTTCGTCGAAGACCCGGCCTTTCGTTTAAACAGCGTATGAGACTACTTCGTCTCCTGCACTGTGCTGTCGAGCGTCCCATCGTACCAAACACATGATTTAGCCTTGTGAACATGACCGACGCTGACAGCGTGCTCAAGTTTCGTTTCGATGTCCTTGGCGTGCACCAACTGAATACCCGCCTTCGCATACCCCATGTTCTGGTGACCGCCGAAGGTGACCGTTGTCTTCGAATCGAAGCCTTGTGTGTTGTACTGAATCGTCTGTGCTATCCTCGCCGCTACTACGACATGATGCCGCTCTTTGGCCGATCGCGTGAGGCTATATGCCGCGTTTTTAACGCCCTGGTCGAACTGCTTTACGTGGAGTGGCATGACTTACTGTATTTCGCCCTCGACGTTGTCACCTATCGTTTGGCCTCCTACGCCTCTGCAGTGGCCGAGAAGGGTGCTGCCATGGACAACATTTTCGGCTTCATTGACGGCTCCAAGATTGAAACCTGCCGAATAACCCAGAAGCAAGAACGTGTGAGCAGCGCTGCAGGGTGCTACGGCGACCCCCAAAAGCTGATTTTTCAGTTTGATTCGCTTGAACGCCATTTTTTCTCTTTCAAGAGCAATTTCTATTTCTTGGACACCCAAAATCATTTTACGTTTACCTGACGGTGTCGATTCGGTTGGCTCTGACTCCGAAGACAACCGACGGCGTCCACGCGACATGGCTTGGTCACGAATAAACTTGGTATCAGCAGCTTTTATGGCCGCATCACTCGTTGGTACTCCACTTTTCTTGACGATTGCATCCATGTACAGCGGCACGAGGTCGTCAAGGAGCTTGGTCTTTGCGGTTTCGTCTTCTGCCACAGCGGACAGTCGTGCAGAGGATTCGTTGTGGGCCTTGTGTTGATGGACCAGCAACATGAACCGGTTTTGTGCCTTCTTTCCATCCAGTCCACGCCTTGTGAACCCGTCGATCGACAGGAGTGCCTCCGCCACGGCTTGCCATGCCCGTGTTGCATCCTTTAGCTGCACAAAGGGGCGCTCGTTGTTGGCTTGGGTGAGTAGGAGGATGTCGTCGTCTTCGCTCCATCGCTTCTTTTCTTTGCGAGGACTTGGAAATAACCGGATAAACCGGATTGATAGGCTGCCGTGAACTTGGTCGATTTGACGGCATGCCACATTAATTATTGGAGTTGCCGTAATATACATTAATTTTGAGCAGGTAAATATACGGCAACGGCGTGGCAACGTGCTCCGAAATCTGTCTAATGATCTCCTTTGATTGGCAAGTTCGAGCTCTTTTGTAGGAGATACAAGCTTGAGAGAGCATGAGGTCGATTTTGTAAAACGAAAATCATCTGGTCAGCGTTAAATGCCATTGCTATCTCGTGCACTCGATGCCCAATACACGTACTAACCCTATGCGAAGCAAGTACACATAGGTACTAGCGAGATCCAAAGACGTTCTGCTCGCTAGTTGTGCCATGCAGCGTCGAGTCACAGTAGATAACCACACCATGCTGACATTTAGCCATGATGACCCTATGAAAGACATGCTCTCGGTTATAGCACCTGACAGTATAAATATAAGATTCGTTCATTAAGGTCACCATTCATCGTTGGCCCTGACATACAGACCTCTCGCCACATGATGGCGGCAGATTTTGGGGTATAAACCTCTACGTATATATAAATATAGGTATTTATGGAGGCAGATTCTGAGAAATTTGCTGAATTTCATACTGAAACCAAGTCAAATACAATATAACAATCTTTATGGACCAGAGTAGTACTTTAGGATGAAGTAAATTCTAATTGGACAAAAAGATCCGTTTCCATAACTGTAAACTAAAAATGAATCAAACCCTGTACTATTTTAATAGTACAGGGTGTGATTCATTTTCACATACAAGTACTACTACAGTAGTACTTGTATGGCGATAGATAATTAGTACTATTTTAATAGTACTAATTATCTTACTGTATGGCGATATTAATCACATACAAGTACTACTGTAGTACTAATTCAGTACTTAAGCTTCCTTGTCATGCCAATTGCAAATGTCGAGGATTGCTGGACTTGTATTGGTAATGGATGGCACTTCCATTAGGCACCGATCGCTGAGTTGTAGCCATGCAGTCATCGGACAACTCGCTGTGTTTCGTTGACGCGTTTGCTCGTTCGAACTCTGGTGTTGGGCTTAGATATGGATGTAAACACAGTTTACATGTGGTAAGTACGAAAGTATAAGCACTGGTTTTCGCGACTGTTGAAAACGTTATGGGATTATAAAGACCGATTTGATTGAAAATCGCCAACACCGTAACAAATCTCAACATTATCCAACCATCAACTTTTAATTCACTGGCCGTGCCTCGGATACAGTACATACGCCGTCGTCGGACAAGGCACGTCTGTCGCAAGATTATTGTCCCCTAACCACTAGTACTACTGTATTGCTCCTCTCGACACCTTGTACTCCACGCCAGTTGTGAATTTAATAGTATGAGTCGCTCGTTGTTGCTGTTGGTCCTCGCCGGAGTTGCGTCCGTCGGCACTGCGTGGACGTGCAGCCCCACCAAGATCATCGACTGGAGGGCCTCGTGCGACAAACTCGGAAGCGACGACGAAAAGTGCAAAAACGGGGCCTGCCACCGCGCTTTGCACTACCTCGTGGAGGACATTGTCCGCGATTGTTATGTGCAATCTGGCATGGGCGACGCCAGCGATCTCGACGTGTACCGCATTCTGGATGACTACTGCCACGGTGAAACCCCCGCGCCCAAGCCCGTCCCTACCACCTCCAAGCCAACACCTACCACCTCCACGCCTGTACCAACCACCTCAGCCCCTTCGCCGCCTACCCCCACAACCTCAGCTCCTACCCCCACAACCTCAGCTCATACCCCTACAACCTCAGCTCCTACCCCTACAACCAAACCCCCTACCCCTACAACCAAAGCCCCTACTCCCACAACCTCAGCTCCTACCCCTACAACCAGAGCCCCTACCCCCACAACCAAAGCTCCGACCCCTACTTCTCCACCAGCTGTACAACCTACAACCAGCCCTGCCTCCGCACCCCCGACACAGTCGACAAACGAACCTCCTGTCGCATTGCCGATCGCCCCCACAACCTCTTCCCCCGACTCTTCAGTCCCCACGTCCTCGGCACCGTCCATTGTCGCTCCTTCCAGTGCGACGCCTGCGTCGACATTCGCCGCTTCAACGCGCTCGCCTGAGAAATCCACTTCAACCACCCCCACCACGACTGGTGTACGTGTCGCTGGCCCCACTTCTGTGCCAGTTAAGACGACGTACAACATCACCAACGCGACCAAAACAACCAACGTGACCAAAACAACCAACGCTACCAATGCGACCCTGGGGGTGGAGTTGATTACGGTACCGACCACTCAAGCGTCAAAGACATCTCTACCGACTACCCTTCAAGCGACTACGAAACCGGTGGCCACTAGCTCAGCTGCCCAGATCGGCGCTCTTCCACTCGTGATGGCGTTCACCACCCTGGCGTTCGTGTTGCCATGATAATTCTACCACCGTTCCTGACATAGTACTTCTTTCGCTCGAAAGCTAAGACACGAAATACACCACTTTCGATCTTCGGTGCATCGCATTTTCCGACTCTACTCAATGAATGGGGTGTTGTAGCTTTCAGGTTTAGGGCATTCCCAAGGGTGTTTGGGCATCAAAGCACTTCTCTAAGTTGAAATGATTTCAATCGCAAGGTAGACTTCAGTATTAACGTTAATTATTTGTTGAAATGATTTCAATCGCAAGGTAGACTCTACTACTGTATTAACGATAATTATTTGGATCAATGATCAAACCTTAATTAGCTCTAAACGTCAGTCAGTATCGACTCAACATAACTACTACTAGTACACAGTAGCCTGCCTACTGGAAAACCGCAACCGTTTTACTCACGTTACGTAAGGTTTCACGTCCGATATGTGGTAATTTTCAGACACTAAATTGCAATGCTACATGAGAGTGAGGGAAATGGTCATATTCGAACGAACTCGATGGAGCTGATGCCTATAATCACAATGTTACACCTTCGGATTTTAATTCTTATTTACCTGGTTGACATAAACCTTCGTCGTCGCATCTTCGCTGGTGATTTGGTCATCAAGCCCACAATTCTTCGAAACAAGAAAACCGTTTCATTATTTTTATTATGGCGTGAATAGAATTTTTAAAAACAACACATCAAAACGATGTTATGTGATGTTATATTTGGAAGCAAAGATAACTAACAAAATTGATCAACTAGGATGTTATATTTGAGACAGCCACTTTCAAAGCCACACAACACGAGCCAATGTAAACCGACCAGCCCGAGACTTAATTTGCGTTTTCACAATCATTATCTCTACAGAATGACGTATCATAGAGGTCCCTACGAGCTACCGTATAGTGTATATGCATTGCGACGGATTAATCTATTGCGACACCTGTAATGACTGATAATTTGCTTGTAATAACTGATATTTACTTATGAACATGTGAATATACTTCAAATTTGTATGACGCAATGGATTCACAAAATTTTGAGAACGACTGTCGGCTGGTTGTGAAATGTCCCCTCGCCAAACTACTCATGCTTGTAGCTATGTACTACGTAGTATTCATCAAATAATGACAGGCTTTCGCCATCTACACGGCCTACACCCCAGCCAGGTACACTTTCTCAGCTATATGAAACTGCCCAAGACACGTAAATTGTACATGTAACTCGCTTTATTACGATAGAGCAAAATGAAACTACACGTGACTCTAGTCGGTAGTCCCGTTGACAGGTGCGTCGAACGCGGCCAACTCCAGCCTCAAAGCATGGACGTCCGAGGCGTGGCAGAATTCGTCCAGCGTGATGTACTTGTTGAGGTCGGAGACTGGGCCCAAGCCCACGGACACGTAGCAGTCGCGGGTCTCAGGGTCCGTCAGCCAGTGCAACGCGCGGTGGCAGGTGCGGCTGTCGCACTTTTGTTGGTCGGTGGACAGGTGGTCGCACGACTTAATCCACTTGCGGATCTGAGTTTTGCTGCACACGGCAAGGGTGGACGACGTGGCGACCGCGGCGACGAGGAGGGCGAAGATGGCTTTCATGGTGTCGGGTGGGCTTGAGCTAGCAAATTCAATTGTGTGTCGGCTCCAAGAGGGGCCGACTGTGGCGACTCCGACGGTGCAACTTGCACCCAGTCAACTCCCGTCTGATGGTCCAACATGGATGGTACACGAGCCTTGAACACGACACCCGGATTTGTCCCCAACTTGTTCGCTGCCGTCGGATATATGATGGATATGCATTCAGTACCACTTTACTGGTATGCGTCATCTGAGGTCGGTGGTGTAGGCCTTCACCGCATTCGAAACGAAGGTAGCAAGTACATCGAGTCATAACGAGCCTTTGTCCCGACATCAGTCATTGAGTCTCCGTTCTTATTGAATCATGACAGCGTGCTCTCTGGATACTTTGTCGCGTTGTTACCCAACGCAGCCACACATAGTTATGCTCCAAAGTGAAGATTACGCATATACATAAGACATTTGTCAGCAGAAATGGCAATGTGAAGATTACGCTTGTGCATAAGGCATTTGCAATCAGAAATGACTGACGATTAACCATCACAGTTTGATCTGGCTATATTGTACAGTATCTGTATCTGAGAGATGGCAGCCGCCAAGATCCTACCACCAAACGTACCTGACCAAATCACACCTACTGTACCAGTAGACATCAACTGCCATCAGTGCAAACACATTATACGCCACAAACATCATGCAGATACTTGAGAGCGATCCACTTGTGCGCCTCGACCCTCGCCAAACTACTCATGCTTGTAGCCATGTACTACGTAGTATTCATCAAATAATGACAGGCTTTCGCCATCTACACGGCCTACACCCCAGCCAGGTACACTTTCTCAGCTATATGAAACTGCCCAAGACACGTAAATTGTACATGTAACTCGCTTTATTACGATAGAGCAAAATGAAACTACACGTGACTCTAGTCGGTAGTCCCGTTGACAGGTGCGTCGAACGCGGCCAACTCCAGCCTCAAAGCATGGACGTCCGAGGCGTGGCAGAATTCGTCCAGCGTGATGTACTTGTTGAGGTCGGAGACTGGGCCCAAGCCCACGGACACGTAGCAGTCGCGGGTCTCAGGGTCCGTCAGCCAGTGCAACGCGCGGTGGCAGGTGCGGCTGTCGCACTTTTGTTGGTCGGTGGACAGGTGGTCGCACGACTTAATCCACTTGCGGATCTGAGTTTTGCTGCACACGGCAAGGGTGGACGACGTGGCGACCGCGGCGACGAGGAGGGCGAAGATGGCTTTCATGGTGTCGGGTGGGCTTGAGCTAGCAAATTCAATTGTGTGTCGGCTCCAAGAGGGGCCGACTGTGGCGACTCCGACGGTGCAACTTGCACCCAGTCAACTCCCGTCTGATGGTCCAACATGGATGGTACACGAGCCTTGAACACGACACCCGGATTTGTCCCCAACTTGTTCGCTGCCGTCGGATATATGATGGATATGCATTCAGTACCACTTTACTGGTATGCGTCATCTGAGGTCGGTGGTGTAGGCCTTCACCGCATTCGAAACGAAGGTAGCAAGTACATCGAGTCATAACGAGCCTTTGTCCCGACATCAGTCATTGAGTCTCCGTTCTTATTGAATCATGACAGCGTGCTCTCTGGATACTTTGTCGCGTTGTTACCCAACGCAGCCACACATAGTTATGCTCCAAAGTGAAGATTACGCATATACATAAGACATTTGTCAGCAGAAATGGCAATGTGAAGATTACGCTTGTGCATAAGGCATTTGCAATCAGAAATGACTGACGATTAACCATCACAGTTTGATCTGGCTATATTGTACAGTATCTGTATCTGAGAGATGGCAGCCGCCAAGATCCTACCACCAAACGTACCTGACCAAATCACACCTACTGTACCAGTAGACATCAACTGCCATCAGTGCAAACACATTATACGCCACAAACATCATGCAGATACTTGAGAGCGATCCACTTGTGCGCCTCGACCCTCGCCAAACTACTCATGCTTGTAGCCATGTACTACGTAGTATTCATCAAATAATGACAGGCTTTCGCCATCTACACGGCCTACACCCCAGCCAGGTACACTTTCTCAGCTATATGAAACTGCCCAAGACACGTAAATTGTACATGTAACTCGCTTTATTACGATAGAGCAAAATGAAACTACACGTGACTCTAGTCGGTAGTCCCGTTGACAGGTGCGTCGAACGCGGCCAACTCCAGCCTCAAAGCATGGACGTCCGAGGCGTGGCAGAATTCGTCCAGCGTGATGTACTTGTTGAGGTCGGAGACTGGGCCCAAGCCCACGGACACGTAGCAGTCGCGGGTCTCAGGGTCCGTCAGCCAGTGCAACGCGCGGTGGCAGGTGCGGCTGTCGCACTTTTGTTGGTCGGTGGACAGGTGGTCGCACGACTTAATCCACTTGCGGATCTGAGTTTTGCTGCACACGGCAAGGGTGGACGACGTGGCGACCGCGGCGACGAGGAGGGCGAAGATGGCTTTCATGGTGTCGGGTGGGCTTGAGCTAGCAAATTCAATTGTGTGTCGGCTCCAAGAGGGGCCGACTGTGGCGACTCCGACGGTGCAACTTGCACCCAGTCAACTCCCGTCTGATGGTCCAACATGGATGGTACACGAGCCTTGAACACGACACCCGGATTTGTCCCCAACTTGTTCGCTGCCGTCGGATACACGATGAATATGCATTCAGTACCACTGTACTGGTGGTATGCGTGATCTGAGGTTGGTGGTGCACATCGACCACGTTTGGACCTTATGCCGACACGCGGTACATCACAACTCCCGTAGAATTTAATATTTTGTGGGAAATGGACCCCCATAGAGGGATGACTCTGTGAACTTAATTTGTGTCTAATGTTGAAGGATATCAAAACGTTAATATGCAGGATTCGAGGCTTGGGACACCGGAGTCGTATTGAAGTTAACGTTATATGATGGATTACGATGGGCATTGCAGCCAACAGGGT